TGATTTCTTTAATATTTTTTCGGTTATAGGGAGGCGACAAGTGGTTACATTTACTTAATTTAATAAAGACGGTACATTGACAAGACATAAAAAGAGCAACACAAGTTTTGAAAATAACATCAGTTGCAAAAGTAAATATTTCCATGCGTTTTTATACCATCTGTAAACTAATAATTATTATAATAATTACCACAATTACGGCATTCGGGCCTATTTTCTATGCGTCTTCCAAGGCTTAATCAAGCTAGACGTACCAGCACCTCAAATTCCTACAGATATCTTATTCATTGATTATGTTTTTTGTTGAATTTGAATTATGTCACACACTCTATTACGGTACTTTAGAATAAAGAATTTTAGATTAATCTAGAGCAGCCACTCCAAAGTGATTAATATCAACGTACCGTTTCATAAATTAGCAAATTCATTTCGTACTGGCTGTACTACAGTTATGAGAAAAGGACATAGAGAATCCTGTTAATACAGCTTCTAGCCAATGATAAAACCTTTCTTGGTAAGAGCTAAGTAATATTCTGTATTTGGATTTAACTATTCCCCAAAGTTCCTTCAGTACAAACGCAGAAATAATTTTCGAATGATGAAGAGACAATTGAAAGCGACAAGAATTTAAACGAAAAGAAAAGGTGCGGAGGTAGAAAATAAAAAAGAGGTATTATGTTAATTATAATTCAAACACGTTTCTATCTACTCTTATGAAAGTTTCAAACATGATTACCACATTATCATTCCGATGGCATGATAAGCTTTTTCTGCTAAAGATATTCGATAATCCAAGAGAAAAAAAAAATTGAAAAATGCGTTTCATCATATAACGGGGGTGGGGACGTATATAAATCACCAAAGATATGTTTAACTCGCTTAGGTGGGCGTTGGTTGCTTAATGGATACATCTTGTCATCTGACATTTAAGACTTCCTCCCTTCAATCCTTAAGTACACGACGAAGCTTAAGTCATAAAAGTCAAAGGCGCTTCCGTAGACGAAATTCTTTCTCGTTCAGAAAAAAATATCTTTGAATTGTACCTCCCACAAGCTTCTAAAACGATTTTGGCATACTGAAATTACTACTTAAACTGAAAATATCTCATTCAACAGAGAAAATAAGGCAAGATAATTGAAATAACTATTTACCTAAATGTCTATCAATCTCTCTGTCATTGTTAGCTTCTAGTTCTCTCTTATGGAAATTGTCAACATATTTACTGACCTTAAGCGTTCTAGTTTAGTGTGCTTGTTCTGGTTTATTTGTCAGTCAGCTTTTCCCGAATTTATTAAATTTTCAATTAAAGTTTCCATTATTAAATATTAGCAATTTGCGTAAACAGTTATTTTCTCTTACCTTTTTTTTATGAATCGGACATGACAAAAATTACCATCTAGCAATGAATACAGACGGGTATTAGCGTTGCAATATTTGTGGAATATACTAGTTTGGTATCTTTCGCTTTGATGATGGCAAGACGATTAAATTTCAAATCACAATTGTTCCTCTATTTAAAATATTATATCCATGAGAAAATATATACAGTTAAATACAGAAAAAGTCGTCAAATGACTTTAAAAGACGGCACATTTCGGATTATACATTTACCCTGTTATCCAGAGATTGTTGCTAGAAACAAAACGTACATGAAGTCTCCCATCATATATATATATATATATATATATATACAGATTTCAGTTTCATTCCATTTATGTGTAGATATTTTTGAGTGTCATGAGTATGACGATAATCTACATTCGGCAACAGATTGGAGGTTTTGAGGTGTGTGGAGTACAACGTCTTAATTACAGTTGTATCTAGGTCCACTCTGAGCCAAGGTGGTAGAAACAGTTAAGGTCCCAGATATGGGTAAAAGTTAACCCCACAACTGAGGTCAAACACTATGAAAATATACAAATACATCTTTATAGTGAAAATACCAGCAATGTAATTTCATAGCAAAAAATTACCAGCAATACATTTCTGTAAAGAAAATTACTAATACTGCCAAGAAAAAATAAATTTCAGCATTAAATGATTCATAAGGAGTTGATATACCACGATGTTGTAACCTATGGAAGGTTACTGAATAGAATAATCACACGACAGTTGGCAATGAAGGATAATTCTTAGGACAAGAAGAACACATATAAGATTTTCTAGCGGCGCGTAGAAGTAGTACTCAACTGCTAGAGGTGAGCCGATTGAATTCCACAATGAATCTCCAACTAAAAGCCGAATTTAATGTGCGGTATCCAGACCGTAGGCTCAGTCAACAGTTACCCGTAGAACTCATATAAAACGGGGTCGGGTAGCTGTTTCCCGAGATGAGACTCTGCCCTTCAATATAACCTCCTCTGGGGATCCTCACTTCTAGAAGGCAGAGAGTTTGACGAACACAACTGGAGACAAATCTCCAACTGCAGATCAACATACAGTATTTACTATTGTATATGTGAATGGGGACATTCCCATTATCGTATGTAGTTATGCTAAACAAACAAAAACTTCTGAGTATGTATATTTTATCAGACGTAAAAATTAATCAAAATCTTAGTTAAAAAATAAAAAAAAATAATTCGATTTATTGTCGATAAGTTCCCAAAAGATCAAGAAAATTAATTACATGATTTGTTAGAGTTTAAAAAATACGCTCTTTTTTACTTGTAACAAAAATTGTTTTATTACTCAACACAGGGTAGGGGTTGTCAAGACTAATTGGAGGGATGTATTACGTTGTGTGTGAGTGTGTGTGATCTTATTAATACATTGAATAGCACAAAAAAATTAAGCCATTGACTTTAAGAATAAGTGTCCTTTTTTCCAGTTACTCTAAAACTTTGTCGTTGCTCATAACTTAAAAATCACCCTGAAAAGAAGTGAGATCCGTCAGGCTAGCTTGTCCGAGAAAACTACCATTAAGGTGTGTGATACCTGTAAGACCCTAAAGGGTAACAGAACAAACATGGACGTACATAAGAAATTATTTGTTTCTGACATTTTAGCAAAGATGCAAGTCAGATAATTATTTTGTATCGATGACCTTGTCTGGGATTTTTTATCTATTTTGTAAAGATAATCTTATTTTTTAGATTTTTACCTCTCAAGATATGATATCGGAGAAATACTAGACATGCTAAAGGGATAATTATAGTAGCTAGCAACATTTTAGAAAGCTTTTTCACTCTCTTTTCTGTAAAGTGATTACAGATAATTGAGAAAAGAAATTTGTGGAGAGCCATGATCGCCTAAATCTTAAGGGACGTTAAATAAAACAAAAAAAGGAAATGGTATCAAATTAACGTACAAAACAGAAACATTTATGAACAATTCCATTATTCTTCCCATCGCCAGTCATTTCAATCATGAATTTCTTTACACGTACACTGCAAAAGTAAAAGCTTCACCGTCAGTTGAAAGTTTTTTTGTTATGTTTTGTTTTCGTTATATACTTTCTTATTGCATTTTGAAATGTTCTACTTGCGGAAGTGTTTGACACTTTCCTTGAAGTGACATGAAAGATATACATCAAATAATGGAAGGACAGTCTTTTTTAACAGCCCAATGACATCGTCCGGTCATGGAATCAATCAACCAACCAATTCAACAAACTGAAACGCTTTTTGTAATATGTAGAATATGCCTGCAACAAGACTGTTTCTAACAAGACTGTCTGGCAAAATAGTGCAATGACGACGAAAGAATCAGAAAAGCAATAAAACTGCATGTTGTTGGGCTATAAAATATATATATAATGGGCGTATCTGGGCAGCATATTTTAAATTATGCACATTTTATTAAAAGCAACGAAAGTCCTTGGTAATTGTTTATATATTTTTTTTTCAGTGTTTCTAATCGGTTTTCTGGCTTCCGGTTTGTATTTGTAAAAGTGAACATATATCAGAAGTCAACAAAATTACATCAAAACCCAGGGCCAACAGACTAAATATATTTTATTAAAATATTCAAACTCTCAGTTGAATACACGAAACAAGATTACATTGAACACGGGAAAAGTGATATTTAAAATTAATCTGGCTATATAATAAACAAACAATATTGAAATGGCTAATGGGGACTAAAAGCGCTTATACATCGGAAGATATGTTTACAAATATGAATGAGAAATAAGAAACGCACTTTCGGTGTTCTATTTATTTACACACACACAAACACACACACGCACGCACACACACACATATATATATATATGTATGTATGTATATGTATGTATGTATGTATGTATGTATGTATGTATGTTTGAAGCAACCGGATGTCTAGTCACACTGATGAGCTGTGATACATAAAACTTTACCAACTACAGACTGAAGGGAAATAGTTCTGTAACTACTGCAAATAGCTTTACCAGCAGGAATATATTTTAAAAGTACTACCATTAATGAATCACACTAGTCGTTAGAAATACATTTTTTCCCTAGAATATTGTTTTAAAAGATGTAAACGCTTAGCGATAATACCTGCTCCATGAGAGTACCTCGGTGCATATATCATTTAACCTAGGTAAATGTCTAATTTTTAGCTTTTGTACTACAGCTGTTGCCTCTCCACACGACGTGGAAGCGACTAGCTCTTTTAAAACCGGTTCCTTTGAAATGCTATTAAGATGATCCTCATCCACTGTAGAAAGACGATTCAATAGTGCATGGGAAATTCTCGCATTTTTTTAAACATGTCGTTCGTGTTACAAATAATATTCGTATATTTTGTTCAAAAGGATTCACTGGAGAGTACCATAATCTTCAAGCAAAAGGTTATATAAGAACTTTGAATCTTCTTCTGCTTGTATTTGGTAGATGATATTAAGTAATACTGTTAAAGAAAAACACAGTGTCTACTCAAATATGTGTATCAACTAAGGCTCTAGTGATAAAAATCTGCCGGATTAATAAAGAATAATCCATTGCTATATGTATTGTTACGACCACCACCTAAATTTATTATAAAATCTATACTATTGATTATATTTTAGAAGTATACTAAAATAAAGAGCTCAGTACTTGCAGAAACGTAAAGATAGTAAGACCAAAGTGATAGATAGAGTTAGTGGGGACAAAGATTAACCAGAATGTACCCTTTCTTACTCTTTTGGTCAACGTGTTGACAGAATGATTCACACGGATAGGAAAATTTGAAACACTAAGCTGAACTTTGTCTGCAGATGAGAGAGGGGGCAATGACCTCATTTCGCCCACAATGGGGAAAAAGTTCATATTTAAAAATTGACCACGTGACAAGAAAAAAGGAAACGAATAGTGAAACGAAAAAGTTAGTCGTGTCCAAGCTTTAGGGCCGGGTGCACGTGTTTGCGAAAAGTACATGAGAACTAAAGGCCGAATGGACGTGTTTTTCAAAATACGAGAAAGAGAATTAACCTTCGAATGGAATAGATGGCCCCGTTTGTTATGAAAGCAAAAGTTTTGGTTGGCTATGCGGAAGAAAAGTCCCTCTTCGAACCTCGAACGGACAACCAAACGCAAGCGCGTGGAATGCGATAGAAACGTTGAATTTTGGGAAATAAACTACGACGGAATGCCGCTACATCGGGACTAAAGAGAGATATAAGATAGCTTCGATTTATCCGTCAGCCAAGTCGCGAAATCAGATGCTTATAGAAAAAGAAAAGAAGAAAGCGAGAAAAGATTCCAAAAAGAGATATTTATGGGAAAAGGAAAGAAAGTAAGAAAAGATCTCAAGGGAGAATGATGCCACACCTAGATGAAGGAGATAGAGAAAGAAAGCAGTTTCAACTTAATCGTCACCCAAGCCCCTAAACAAAGGACGAAAGGGAGAAGAAATAAAGTAAGAAAAGACCACTCCAAACGAGAATGCTGCTACACCGAGACGAAAGAAAGGAGGAAAGCAGTTTCAACTTCATCGTCGGCCAACCCCCTAGACAGGACGAAAAGAGAAAGAGAGGAAGTAAGAAAAGACCCCAAAAGGTGACTCTTATAAAAAGAAAAAGAAAAAGAGAAAAATAGAAGAAGTAGATATAATAGACATTAGTGGAAAAGTACTTTTATTACGAGATAAAATCGTTGTTGTCCTTGTGCTTCGTTTTTGTTTAAATGTACTTCTTTTTCATGTTTGTACTCTCATGCAAGTCTGGCATGAGACAGACATGAGACCCTTTTATTACATGTTTCTTTCTACTTGTCTTAAAATTTTGATGTTTTGTCAATTCGTGCAAATATGACACATGTTCTGTAAATTCGTGCAAGTATGGCACAAAGCTATACGTTGATTTGTGATTTACCTTTCAAAGAGGATGTTCCCCTCCCACTATTTTGTCCGCAATGTTTAAATGTTTATTCTTGACACATTGTCATCTTTGTTTTGGCCGTTTTTTAATCTTCCCAAGGTTTTACGTTTGTTAATAAATTTATATTCCTTGCTTTCATTGTTGTTTGTCGCCTATCGTTTTTATTCCTTAATCGAGCCCGCTCGTGTCTGATCAATCGGAAAGAGACCCTTGGGAAAGAAATATATTTTACGAAAAATTGGGTAAAAGTAAATGCAAAAAAAAAAAATATATATAACAGAGATTACGATCCTCCTCTACCTCCACAATCGATAAGGTTCGGGAAGGGACGTAAGAATATATATATATATATATATATATATATATATATATATATATATATATATATATATATATATATATGAAACGATCTATAAGATTTTTTTATATATCGAGAAATATTTTAGTGAAAAGAAATGTTTTATTTTTTTCAATATTTTAATTGATATGTATATGTATGTATGTATCTGTTATGGTGAAACACACCTTTTCTATAGTCAATAGACTCTCCCACCTAATATAAGTAGAAGTAGCAATAGAAACGACGGTCAGTTGATGTCGCACGACCGGCTGAACGGTTGAACTCTCTGCCTTCGGGCGGGGAGAAACCCGAACGTGGCTACGCCGAGGGGCGGAGTCTCGTTTGGGAGGTAAACCGGCCCTGAGCCCGTTTATACGGGTTCAATGGGCATATTTTTAGGGCCGATCCCACGGGCTCGGAGAACCCACAATAAATAACCGACCTTGTGTCACATGATGCCCCAGTGGGGTGGTGACTGAATATCCAGTCAATGTCGGACGACCGGCTGAACGGTTGAACTCTCTGCCATCGGGCGGGGAGGAACCCGGACTAGGCTATGCCGAAGGGCAGAGTATCGTTCGTGGAGGTAAACCGACCCTGAACCCGTTAATACGGGTTCAAAGGGTATATTTTTGGCCGAGCCCACGGGCTCGGAGATCCCACGTTAAACCGGCCTTGTGCCACATGATACCCTCGTGGGAGGGTGACTAAATACTAGTCGATGTCGGACGACAGCCGAACTCTCTGTCTTCGGACACCCGGAACCCGGACAAGGCTATGCCGAAGAGCAGAGTTTCATCCGGGGAAGTAAACAGACCCAACCCCGTTTATGCGGGGTCTACGGGGATTTTTTGGCCTAGCCTCCGGGCTCGGGAATCCCACTTTAAAGTTGGCCTTGTGCCACATGTAACTGCGTGTGGCAGTTACTAAATAGAGTCGATGTCGAACGACAGTCGAACTCTCTGCCTTCGGGCAGAGAGGAACCCGGACGTGGCTATGCCGAAGGGCAGAGTTTCGTCCGGGGAGGTAGACTGACCCGATCCCGTTTATGGTGGGTCTACGGGAATTTTTTGGCCGATCCTACGGGCTCGGGGACGCCACATTAAATTCGGCCTTGTTTCACATGTGACTGCGTGGGACAGTTACTAAATAGCGTCGATGTCGGACGGCAGTTAGTCGAATACGAAAGTATCAGCGACCAAAACTAGATTACTCTGCATAATACCTATTATATCAAGTTCCTAACGTTTTGTACGTCGAACCTATTTTAGGACCGACTTAGTACAAATACAAGCCTCCACTGCGAAAACACTCCACAACAGTATCAATAATAAATCGTTGGTAAAACGTTAACAAACCACACTATAGAATAGTTACAAATAATTGCATTCGAATCCGAAATTGTTTCTACTCAGTAACCTCTAGATTAATTTGTAACAATCGCGATCGCCAACCCATTAAAAATTAGGATAATATGATTGACCTTGTTACCCATAATTAACAATTGACCAACATATATAAATAATCGACCTAGCATACATAGCCTGCCTGAATAATCCGTTCAAGCAGGAAACATTCTGATGCTTCTCAGTTTTGACTTCAGTGTCATCTAATATATATATATATATATATATATATATATATATATATATATATATAGTTGTATATTTAGGCAGCAGTCCGTCCTTTACGCATGTTTCATTAAAAACGACAGACAAGGTACTGCAGTTAAGCTTTTTATTTAATTTTTCTTGTGTTCGAACAATAGCTTTCTTTTCTGGACAATGGGTGTGTAAGAACTGTCCAAATGTTTTATATTTCCGAGCGCTTTCGTCTATACCTTTAGCCATTATCAAGGATGATTCGATTTTTTAGTTTAATTGAGTGTGTGCGTTCTGTGTATGTCTTAGTGTGTGGTAGGGATGTTTTTAATTTCCGAATACGGTTAGCACATTGTGACTTTGTTCGTAGTTAATATTGTTAACTTTTTTCTTTTGTATTGTCATAGACGAAAGATAGTAATAATTATTTTCAACTTTTTCTTCATAAAACACAATCTTCTATTACAGATACAATAAAACGATATACGTGTAAACCTGTAGACAAAAATCATTCAACCCCTCAAATCTTTTTCCAATATTCGTGACTTTATTTCCAATTTCTATTCATGCTTTTGTATTGTTTTTGTTCAACTGATAATGTTTTCCTTTGTTTATATTATTTCACACTCAGTAAGCATCTTAGTGGCTTTATTGCTTTATTTAGGATGAAACGATCAATATATATATTTTGTAACCTACTGAAGGTTACTGAATAGAATAATCTCATGAAAGTTTGTAATAAAAGACAATACTTAGGACACGAACAACACATATAAGATTCGCCAGCGGCGCGTCGAAGTAGACCACTGCTAAAAGTGAGTCAAGTGAATTCCACAATGAAAATCCAACTGCAGGTTGTCTACCAACCGCCACTCGCGGTCAGATGTGACACAAGGCCGAATTTAATGTGGAGTGTCTGAGCCCGTAGGCTTGACCAAAATTTCCTCGTAGACCACGTATAAAAAGGAATCGTGTAGCTGTTTCCCGACACGAGACTCTGCACTTCGACATTGCCACATCTGGGGATCCTCTCTGTCCTGAGACAGGGAATTTGACAAGCACAGCTGGAGACGAATCTCCAACTGCAGGATATCTACCAGCCACCCAACGCGGTTAGATGTGGCACAAGGCCGACTTTAATGTGGGGTGTCCGGCCAAAAATTTCCTGTAGACCCCGTGTAAAACTGTCGCGTAGCTGTTTCCCGATACGAGACTCTGCCCTTCGACATAGCTCCATCTGAGGATCCTCTCTGCCCAGAGGCAGAGAGTTTGAACAGCACAGCAGGAGAAGAATCTCCAACTGCAGGTCAACATACAGTGACATACCCATTATCGTCCGTAGGTATGCTACAACAATATATATAATCGACATTATTGTTCCTATGACATGCAGTGGTTATAAGATTAGTGCGCAACTTATAATCTGACCACTGTCTTTATATGTCGGTTGTGCGGGAATTATCTTTTTGTTTACGCAGTAACGTTGTCAGATATTTTCACCTCTATACCTATTTTGTGTAAGGTGGCACCTTGTAGGATGGAAGCGGTAAGATAATTGGCCCTTGTTACATGGCTATACCATTTCAACTACATCTTCTTCGCGGTAGATATGAAGTCTTCCAACAGGATTGCTGCTTGTATGATAATGCCTCGCAGTCTGTCATCTATTTCTAATAATAAAATATATTACATATAGAAACACATGATATATATATATATATATATATATATATATATATATATATATATATATATATATATATATATATAATGGAAATGATGAGTGTCAATTGGTTAATAATATCATCGTGAACAATTTTAACTTTCGTAATAAAATACGGAGCGTGTGGGCAACGATGGGGTCTTAGAGAGTTTGCAAGCAAAGAAAAGGTTTACACTTAACACCAGGACGAGGCAGGTGAAGTTTCTGGGATACATAATAAAGGAGAGGTGCCTGGAGAATCTGATACGCACAGGACGAATAGAGGAAAGAGTGGCAAGGGAAAACAACGCGTGACATACCTGGCGGGCTTAAGCATATGGATGACAGAACGTAGTCTGGGGGAGGGAATAAGGGGAAGGAACTTGTTGAGAACTGCAAGGGATAGAGGGAGGTGGAGGGCCATGATCACCCACGTCCTGAAAGGACATGGCATATAAAAAGAAAAGAAAGAATAAAATCTAATACAGTAACACAGAGTATTACAGTCTACGAGAATTCGAATCCAGTAATCTGTTTATGCCATAATTTTCTTTCAGTTTTCTAATATTTTTTTTTACAAAACATAGGTATCAGAAAATATTATGAGTAAATTTAATTAAATTTACAATAAATTCAAGTTTTTTTCGGAAACTTGATGAAGTCCCTGCAAAAATACCAGCTAATGATCACCAGTTTGCCTTTCAATTCGAATTGCAATCAACTGCTCATTTTTTTTCTTAAAGTGAAACCCTAGAAAAGATATAAAATCTATTTGAAATGAAATAGAATGGCATGATCATGGTTTCTTCCCTAACTGTGCTAGAAGATAGAATGGATTTGTATGATCCATAGCAATAGATTCATCAGCGCCTATTAAGCGCAACGGCAAATGATGACAAATGGTGTGCATCAGAAAATTACGCACCGAAATTAACAGAAGGGAAAAAGAGACAATGAAAATGTGTTTCAACTGTGCCTTTTCTTAACGATGCCAACGTAAGGTTTGAAACATTTTCAGGCTCCAGCTCACCTGTCTTTTCTTTTTTCCTCACTTCCATCTTCCATGAAATTTAAGGGTGTTCTCACAAAACCATTATATGCAAATGAACCCAACGGTTTCCAACATAAAAAAAAATGACACAAAGAAATATTCAAATGCTGCTAATGAAGCATTTACTTTATTATCTTTAGATACCCTATTCCGCAACTAAAACTGAACACACACACACACACACACACACACACACACATATATATATATATATGATTAAGATTAAATATACTTTTCTTTTGCGTGCATCGACATACACACACACACATATATATATATTATTATATATATATATATATATATATATATATATATATATATATATATAAATGCATGTATATTCCTTTTCTTTATATATATATATATATATGTATGTATATTTTTTTTTATATATATATATATATATATATATATATATATATATATATATATATATATATGATTAAGGATTAAATATACTTTTCTTTTGCGTGCATCGACATACACACACACACATATATATACATTATATATATATATATATATATATATATACCTTTTCTTTTATATATATATATATATATATATATATATATATATATATATATATGTATATTCTTTTTCTGATATATATATATATATATATATATATATATATATATATGATTAGGATTAAATATACTTTTGCTTTTTGCGCATACACACACACACACGTATATATATATATATATATATATATATATATATGATATTATCCTTACGCATAATACGACAGTCATAGCATTTCAAATTATACCTGTTTGAGAAGAGAAAAATCCATAATTAGTTTAATTGTTATCGAAGCTTTACAGAAATCTATAAAGATTTATGCACACACACACACGCGCGAACGCACGCACGCATATATAGAAATGCACACACATAATCGACTATAAAGAAGGTTATATTTATTTAATAAGCTTAGTGTAATTCTGCGTAAAAATCCGAGATAGTAAGATTGAATAACACCAATCTTACAAGGAAAAATGTGCATCCTTTAAAGCCAATGGATAGATTTTATACCTGTCTATATTTCTCAAATCAGGTATGGTAATCATTTAAACTATTTACATTGTTCGAATTATTGTCTTCATCTTCGTTGCCATATTCACGACGTTTCTGCCGTTTTAATCTCTGGACTACTTCAGATGATTGGAAGTTCGAACTAAGCCCTTTATTTTGTTCACCGGGGTAGATAGTTTTAGTTCAACGCCTCTTCCGGATGTTCCAGTATCAGTTATCTCCCTTTAACACAATTCTTCAAGTTTTTGTTCACCTGTAACCAGGTATAGAATTCACAAGTGTTTGGGTCAAGATACTGGATACAACCAAACACTGGGCCATGTGTCTTTGAGGACATCAGTGGATGAATTTTTGGAACTTATAAAACAGATGTTTAGTTAATAATAGAGGATAAAATGATTAAGGAATGTACGCCATCCCACGTAGCTGTAATAAGAAATATAAAGGGGAATCAGGCCTTCCTCTTAAGATAAGACTGCAGGAGCACGGTAAAGCCGTAACACGAAAGGAAATATAAAAATCAGACGTAGCTGACAACATATGGAGAGAAAAGGGAGATCACCGCCCCCTGTCGGATGAGGTTGAAATAACAGACAGAAAACAACACTGGAAAATACAAAAACTTAAGGAATCAGCGTATATGATAGACCACAAAAATTGTCAAAGCTGTCCAAGCATAGAAATTTATACAATATTGAAACCAGTAATACGCAGTGCTCGATAAAAACACTAACAAAAAAAAAATTGTCATATGAGCTTTGGTAAAAAAAATGATAAGATGTTGCAGAGCTCCCTCGCTTTAGGGGTCTCGTAGTTGACTGGGTCGATTCAATAACGTTGTATCTTCTCTTTCGCTCGTCTTCTCGTTGTCGGTTGACGAAATGTTTTTAGGTTCGGAGATAAAAGGAGATTTTAAACATTTCTATTTTTTTATTATGCATATTGACGTGTGCATTTTTAACTAGCCAGTGTGTCCGCTATATTAACGCCACTGGGGAGCAAGTTCCACACGCGTAAATTACACGTCTACATTCTTCGACGTGTAAAAATGTAACTCATTGAAACCGCTTTCTATCTCTCTAACATTCCCACGTTCAGCTCAGCCATTCAAAATCGACATCCCTATTTTATTTACCATCTGACCTTAAAAGTCAGCCCCAGAAGGTCTGAGCCAAAATACGCTGCCACTACAAACTAATAGTCTGAAACTATTATCTAAGATTTCTTACATAAGCATAAAAAAATTAATTTATGAATTTTATTTCAACTAGATTATATTTAACATTACTTAACCAAACATCAAAAAAGATTCAGTTATGAATTTTATGTCAACTATTTACTCTGAATTGTCCTCTATTATTTTGTGTGTACAAGGTGTGCTCTTTACATTTTTTTTTCATTGGGTCTCCAACATGCATATATACAATTCATTAAAAATAATTAACATAAACGACAAAATTCTGACCAGTTTTTCACGCTTCACAAACATTTTTTTAAACAAAAAACACAATAGCGGACAACTCTTTGTCCATTCTTGGTCGCAAGCTTCCGTAACACAAGGTCAACCCCTCAGACGCCAGTCTGGATATAAGTCACTTCAACAGTGTACTTTGATCAGCACCCCGGTCAAGTGCTACGACTTCTGCAATATAATATTCCCGGGGAGAACAAAATTCCTTACCTCTTCAGTTGAGACTACACGGAATTTGCATACAAAAAAAAAATTGAAAAAAAAATATATTGGTCCCCAAAAATACAATACATATCAAAAGCCATATTCTACAGAGTCAACCAATTCCATAACAGAGCCAAGTCATTGCCACCTAATTTTTAAAGTTAAATATGATATAATCTACACTCCTCTCCCACTCACGGTGACACAGAACACTTGGTTCATTATCACCCTATTTATTCAAACAACTAATTAAGTATTTTTCTTGCATATTACCATATTTACTTTAACAGATCTCATTTTTTTAACACCATTCATTTCCTATAGTTACTGTTATTGCTCATCTGACTCTGTATGTCAAAACTCAGCTCGCATCATCTCAAATTCTTCTGCTTCTGGGGGAAACAGCCACACCTAACTCATTAATGGCGCTATCGTGTTTACAAGTGTTCCTTCATCCCTTAGACGCTACCGTAACAAGGCATCCCATAAGCCACCTCACCAATTCCATTAGGTCAGCTGGGATCACAAAACTTGGCCCCGTGGGTATCTTATGGTATATTTTTTCGATAAAAAATACTTCATAAAGCACATTCTATTCCCCATAAATGATCGGGTCCCTAATTAGATAGCTAGGTGTGACTATTTCCACTCCAAGACACAGACCCAAACACGTTCGGAAATCTGAAACAGTCCAAGCCAAATCTACTTATTCCCACAACAATTAGCTAACTTACTTGTTCCACAAAAAATTAATTCCTAAAATTAATCAATTAATAACTTAATTAACCAAGCAATGAAAGCAAAACGACTCACACACACAAACACACACACACACGGCTCTTAAAATAAAATAAAAATCCACTCACTGTTACAAAAATGAAAAAAAAACAAAACAAACAATAATGTGTCAGTTAATTACAGTTAATTCTAATTATTCTTATTAATTCTAAACTTGATAGACACAAAACATTTCAACTGATTAGTATACACAAAAATTACAGCGGGAATACCCCATAACAAAATGTCGTCGGTCTTTCTTTTCTCCCAAAAATTCCATTGCATATGTATACGCAAATTCATGCCTCCACGTGGCCAAAAGGCTACCAGACATACAAAATTTGATTCATCCAAAAATATTAAATGTGCCAATCAAAATCAAACAATAGATTTCCGCACACGGCCTAAACTTTTGTAGAAAAAAAATCCAAAATCAGTCTATTGTTCAAACTGTGTTCTTTTCTTTCTTTCTTTTTTACTCTATTCGTTCTCACTTTTTTCTGTCCATCAAAACCTGCTCGTTTAATGATTTTCCTTTTTTTATCTCATTGTTTTTCATCATAACTTCCTATGTTGAAGATTTGTGCATGGATGTGGCGGGAGAACAAAGTATTTTAATCGTACTTACAAACTGTCCAATAGATCTGGATTACTGTTTCTTTTTTTTTCCCTTCATATTCCCTTTTTTTTAGTCCCCTATCGAAAATCCTCTCTGAACTTTTCCACGTTGTGCTGCAACCATGGCTCTTTTGCGCCCTTCATTGTTGAAAGGAGCTGGTCACTGCGCGCCAAATAGACATGTATATTGTATATTCTCTTTCTTCTGGGGAGGACTTTTGGAGAGGACTGCGCCAAATAAGCAAAATGTCGTATAGCCCCCCTCGTTCTGGGGGGTGTCTTAGTTGAGGCGATCATAATAAAGTTGTCTTCTTCTGTTTCTTCTCTCGGTCGGGTCATCGCTAGTTGGATTTTAGTTCGGAGGTAAAATGAGAACTTCAACAAAAGAGATTTTAAACTGATCTATTTTATTAAGCATGTCGACGTGTTTTCGCTGTATTAACCACACTGGGGAGTAAGTTCTACACACGAGAATAACACGTCTGCATTCTCAGACTTAACTCATTGAAATCACTTTCTATCTCTCTAACATTCCCACGTTCGCCTCAGCCAATCAAAATCGATATTCCTATTTTGTCTACTATCTGACCTTAAAGGTCAACCTCAGATGGTCTGAGGCAAAATACATTACCATTAAAAAATAATAGTTTGAAACTATTACTTAACAAAGAGACATTAGTTTCATTAGTCCCAAAAAATCATCCTCAGGGACACACAGCCCAGTGAACAACTGTTCGAACAACGTAGTGTAAATATGTACTTTCATATTTAGCATTACATTTTATTACACTCCAATACTTTGTCAGTTGTCATCTGCCAGAATGCAGTCAGCGCCCCTGGGCCTCATCCAGACATGGACCTTACATTCTTTTCTGAGATGTCTGAATAATTGCCCGATTCCAT